CTAAAATTTCTGAACCTTTAAATGAAAAAGTGGTGGAGGAAACCAGCCATAAATGGTCCCAAGTTTCCAAATGAAAGCTATGGTGTGGAATTGTAGAGGTTTGGGATGACCCTCTACAATTTCCCAGCTGAAGGAAAATGTTAAATCCTACCTCCCTGACTTTTTGTTTTTATCTGAAACCAAAAAGAAAAAAGCTATTATATCTACTGTTTGTAAAAATTTGCCTTTTGAGTCTAGGTGGTTTTGTGTGGATTCTGTAGGGGCTAAGGAGGGGCTTTTGTTATGTTGGTCTAAAAATGTGTCTGTTTTGGAGATTGTTAACAACTATTTCAGTTTAGAAGTCAAGTTTGCTCTTAATGGGTGTCAAGATCAAATGAGGGGGGTTTTTGTTTATGCTAGTGTTAATGTTTTAGAGAGAAGTTACCAGTGGGAGCTACTTCATAGGCATCACTTAAGATGGGGGGACATGTGGTTCATATGTGGGTATTTTAATGATATTGTTAGTAATGAAGAAAAGAGAGGGGGGCTGGTGAGAAGTGAGAGCAGTTTTAATAGTTTTTGAGGGTTTCTTCAGTCCTTGGGAGTGGTGGAATGTCCAATGGTAGGGTATCGGTTTACTTGGTCAAATCTTAGGAAGGGTGTTGAGTTTGTGGAGGAGAAACGTGACAGATTTTGTGTGTCACCTGAGTGGTTCCTCAGATTTCCCAAAGCCCAGGTTCATAATATTCCTCTAGCATCTTCAGATCATAATCTTTTGCTTATGGAGGTGGTTGAATCTGAAGCAAGCTCGAAGAACAGATTCATGTTTGACAATAGATGGGTGAGATTGGAGGGCTACCAGGACTGCATAGCTAAAGCTTGGAAGGTGGAGCACAAAGGCCCTGATTTGTACAGATTTCAGAAGAAGCTAAGGGGAATTAAAAGTATGTTGTTGGGGTGGGCTGCTAGACAAAATTCCAACTCTGCAGTATTGATCAAACTATGCAATTCTAAGCTGGAGGAGTTGGGTAGACAAGGAGGATGGAGGAATTGGGAGGAATGGCAGGAGTGTAAGGAGAAATTGCATACAGCCTACAAAAATGAGGAGCTTTATTGGAAACAGAAATCGAGGGTTAGGTGGTTGAAGGAAGTAGATAAAAACACCAAATTTTTTCAGGCATGTGTTAGGCAAAGAAGGCAGAGGAATAGCCTGGATCACATTGTGTGTAGGAATGGAGTACAATGCAAAAACAGAGCAGAAGCTATTAAGGAGGTAGAGAATTATTTTGTTGGGTTACTACAATCAGATTTTCCTGAATGTGATGATGCTCTGTTCCAAGGAATCCTAAGATCCATAACTGCTGAAATGAATCAAAATCTCATCAAGCCTGTGACTGAAAATGAAATCAAACAAGCACTTTGGGCCATGGATCCTAACAAAGCTTCAGGTATTGATGGATTTTCACACTTGTTTTTTCAATAATCCTGGGATATTATTAAAGAAGATCTATTCTTAGCTATCTCCAATTTTTTCCAATCTGCTTGTATTCCAAAGGCTACTAATCATACTACTATTACTTCTATTCCTAAAGTTAAGGACCCCAAAACCACTGTACAGTATAGACCTATAAGTTTATGTACTATCACTTACAGATTGATTGCAAAAATTTTGGCCAATAGGCTTAAAGTAGTTCTCCATGTTTGTATTTCCCAATCACAAGCAGCCTTTGTGCCAGGTAGACAGATTTTGGACAATTGCATTATTGCTAATGAATGTGTCCATTATTTGAATACCAAGCACAAAGGGAAATCTTGTTATATGGCCCTGAAGCTCGATATAGAAAAAGCTTACTATAGGATTGAATGGTGCTTTTTGCTTAAGGTCTGTAGGTTTATGGGGTTTAATGAGATCTTTTTGAATTGGGTCAAAGCTTGTATCAGTACCTCTTCTTTCTCTTTTAATTTTGGGGGGCAAAGTGTGGGGCAGGTTATCCCTTCCAGAGGTCTTAGACAAGGCTGTCCTTTATCTCCATATTTATTCATAATTGCTTCAGAGGCTTTGTCTAACCTAATTTTCCAAGCCTGGGCTTCAAATGTTCTCTCTGGGGTCAAAGTTAGTAGGCATTCTCCCCCTATATCTCACTTATTTTTTGCAGACGATGCTTTATTGTTTTGTAAAGCTGGTATTAATCAAGCTCAGCAAATTTTTCATATTTTGAATTGCTATTGTGCTGCCTCAGGTCAAGCAGTTAATTTGCACAAATCCAGCATTTTCTTTTCCAAAAATACACCCGAGCTTCTGAAAACCAGCATCTGTAGAATTTTTCTAGGTATTGCAGTTGCTAATATTCAAAATACTTGGGGCTTCCATTAGGAATTGGTAGATAAAAAAAAATACTTTTGCTTTTGTTAAAAATTGTATGATTTCTAAAATTTCAAATTGGAAGAATCAGTTTTTGAGTGAGGCAGGGAGGGAAGTTCTTGTCAAGATTGTTCTAGCTACCATGCCCATATATGTCATGTTTGTCTATAAGCTGCCTGTGGGTTTGTGTGATGATATCTGTAAATGTATAGCTAGCTTTTGGTGGGGTAAGGCTGAGGAGGGGGTAATAAGATACATTGGCTTAGGTGGGGCAAGTTAGTAAAGGCTAAATTTGAAGGGGGGGTTAGGGTTTAAAGATTTTGAAGATTTTAATTCTGCTCTTATTCTTAAGCAGATTTGGAGGGTGTTAACTAATCCAAACATTTTGATGAGTAAAATTATTAGAGGTAGGTATTTATATAAGCATAATATTATGGAGGTGCAGAAAAGGGACAATGACTCATGGCTTTGGAAAGGGTGGATAGAGGTTAGGAGGTATTTTAATTTGAGGGCTAGGTTTTCTGTAGGGGATGGGAGGGCTATCAATATTTGGAATTCATCCTGGATTCCAAATATTCCTAGATTTAGGCCAAGTGGGGGGAGGGATCTAGACAGGAGTAGATTGCAGAAGGGAGCAGATCTTATGGTGGAAGGTGGTAAAGCTTGGGATTCTGAATTAATCTTACAAACTTTTCCTCCTTCTGAAGCTCAATCCATCCTTGGAATCCATATAAGTTAAGTGGGCTCAAAGGACAGGCTGGTGTGGCATCCTCATAAGAAAGGGATTTTCACTGTAAAATCTGCTTACCAATTTATCCAGGATCAGAGAAGATTAGCAGGAGGTCAGGAGGAGAGCAGTGCAGGCAGAGAGAAGATTAAAGCTATGTGGAGAGCTACTTGGGAGCTGCCTATAAAGAATAAAATAAAAAAAAATTATGGAGGTGTATTCTTAATTGCTTGGGAACTAATTTTAACCTGAGTAAAAGGGGAATGTAGATTGATAGGAAGTGCAAGTGTTGTGGGGAGGGAGAGGAGTCTTTGGAGCATTTAATGTTTTACTGTGATAGGGCTAAACTTGTATGGAAATTGGCAAGTCTGGTGTGGAATAAGCTGCAACAAGAAGGTGCTACTTTCAATGATTGGTGGGAGGATCTGTGCAGATTAACTACCAAAGGCAATGTTCCAGATAGAGTTTCCTTGTCAACATATCTTATGTGGTGGTTGTGGAAGACGCGAAATGGATGGGTGTTCTAAAATGAATGGTATTCAGAAAGGCAGATTGTGGAGAAGGCTTTTCAGGAAATGAGGGAATTTGAAGCTATAAATGATAAATCTACAACTCCAGTGGTTATTGGTCTTTCAGGTTTAAGGGGTGCAGCAACTGTTGATTTACAAGGAGTAGGGGGGCCTATTTCAGTTCCCAGTGCTAATGGATCAACAGGGGCAGTTCTCTATATGTCAGGTACAACTTTGGTTAACAATTCAGTAGTGCAGGAATGGGCTATAGCAAGACAACACTCATGTGGAGTAGAAGTGGAAGGCTTAATTCAGCTTAGGGATTGGTTGCTAGTTGGAAGTAAGGCAGGGTGGCAGGAGGTGCATATTCAAGTAACTGATCTGAAGCTGAGGAGGAAGCTAGAAGGAGTAGCCAAATTTGATATTGAAGTTGCTGTTATTGCTGAAGACATTCTTGCATTATTGAATAGTTTTGGTAAATAGTCTTTTGTGGATCCTTAGTTTCTTTTTCTTGTTTCTCTTTGTGTTGTTTTCTTTTCTCTGTGGCCAGTTGGTCCTTTAGGGGAGCTTTTGATCAGTTTCCTCTTTGATCTCTTGAGTTAGGACTTGTGAGCTCTTGAGATTTATGAGTTTTTATATTATATTTGATGTTGGTTTAAAAAAAAAAAATATAGCCAACTCACGCATTAGAGCTTTTGAAATTGTATAAACTGAGTTTATCACTCTCTACGTATTTAAAATCGGTACTCATCTTTTGATTAAGAAACTCGGTGGACACAAAATGTAATGTCCAATTGCTTTCACTAGATGCGCGTTGCTAAACCAACAACTCCACGCATGCAATATCCAGTTCGGTCGCCCATTGACCATACTGCAGAAGATTGGACTGGTCGTATCGCGAACGCCCATCCATTGAAGTGTTTCTCCTTATTGGGGGCAGTCTTTCCTTGCTGAATATGAAGCACAAAGTAATTAGATCAACATCTTTTGTAGATGCCAAATTAAAAAGATGCAATCAATAACCATTTTTACATAAGCAATTCATATCATCAGAACCGCACCCAATTCATATAAATCAGGCCTTCTGCAACGACATCAAAACAATTTTGAAAACCAATAGTTCAACCCTAAAAAAATAAGTCCCAAAAAAAATAAAATGTATATTGCCAAGCCGATTGAGACCGTGATTCATAAATCCTCATTTAACAGAATAAATTCAGTCAGTCATTCACAAATCTCCATAAAGTATGACAATTATGCCTCAAAATTAGACATTACGAACTTTAATTAAAAAAAAAAATGGACATGGACAACAACAAAATTTGCGACTTTTGAGCCTATTCATATATTTCACACGAAATACAAGAACATTGAAGTATACAATTTTTGGTACAATTTATGTTCCTGTTTTTGCAAAATGCCTTCATTTCTGGGTCACAGACAAACCCAATTCTCCTTTATCCCCCTCAGCCCCATCCCTGAACTTCTTGTATATATCACCCCTATAAAACTCCCGCGTCCTGGCCACCAAAATCAATGAGACGACTGCCCCAAAGAATGTGATGGACGCAAGAATCACGAAAGCCAACCGGTAACACTTGACCCCAATGCACGTCAATTCCTTCACATCCGACCTTGTCATCCCCTTTCGGGCCAGCTCCCTCAACGCCTGCCGATCGTAAAGTGGGCCCGTCACCTTCACGTTCAGCACATACGAACCAAGCGGGCTGGCCAGTTGCCCACAATTGAACAGAGTCGAATAATACTTCAAACCAAACAGCTCGGAAATTATCGCAAAAATCAACGGCAATTGGGCCCCGAACGAGAACCCGATTATGACCGACGCCACATAAACGGAGCCCGAAAACGGGAATGCAATCAGCAAAAGCCCGATGCACGACAGGAAGAGGACCATCGTCATCATGAGCGGCCTCGGGAATTTGTACTTGGCGAGAAGATCTTCTGACACGAACCCGGCAAAAATCCGGCCGAAATAGTTCCATATGCTTAGGAGGGAGACGAACGATTTTATCGTTTTGGTCGGGTAACCTAAAGACTCTCCGATTTGACCCAAATTGTCTACCGCAGTCAGGCTCGACCCGAGCCCGCAGAATGTAGCAAGGAACAAAACGAGCATGTCGGTGCTCAGGAGCGCCTGTAGTATGGTGTAGTCTTCTCCTCTGGTTGGTTTGTTGAATATATTGCTAAAGCAGGACGGCGTCGTTTTCGTGCTGTGGTCTTGGTTTGTGGGGATTTTAGCTGGAATCGGATCATCAACGGTTACACTAGGGGCATTTATGGAAGTTTCCCTTTGGCTCCTGCGTAACACAGAAGATTCCTCCCTAATAGCGATGAACAGAGGTACAAACAGTAAAGCACAGACCACGGTTGTACTCCCGGCGTAAGCCGCCTGAGAGAAATTGACGATTTTTTGAAGTATCGTCATCACCATTATGAAAATCGCGAGCACAATCGAGACGTAGAGGAGCTGGTAGAACACGCGGACCTCGTTTTCCTGCCTGGGAGCTCTAATCACACGAACTGTGTACACGAAAACCACTGAGAGGGCGGCCGGCAGCCAGGCGATGAGGAGGATCAGCGCCGTCGAGTCGTTGCCGTAGACGGCGAGGTAAATCTGGGTCAGAATCGCGCCGCTAAGCCCGGTGAAACCCTTGAGCAGCCCGAGCACGATGCCGCGACTCTCCGGGAAGTTCCTGACAGTGGTGACGAGGGCGCCGGTGTTAGCGAAGTTCTGGGAGTTGGCACCGACGCAGATGTAGAGGCACATTTGCCAGATCCGTGGGCGGCGGATTTTTCCGGCGACGGAGAGCCAAATCATGAAATACCCGGCGAAGTTCATGGCGGATCCGGTGAGCAGCACGAACCAGGTCGGGGTGACCTCGGCGATGAGGCCGGATATGACGCCGACGTTGGCGCCGAGGTCCTTGAAGAAACCGAGGAGGTTGAGTGTGGTCTGGTCGTAGCCGAGGGAGGATTTGATATCCTTGGAGTAGACCCCGAACAAGTAGGTGGCTCCGGCGCCAGCCATTATGAGGAAGGAGGCGAAGAGGGAGAACCAGCGGCCCCGGATTATGTTGACGGCGAAGCTCGGCAGCTGGCGGGGGCCTCCGCCGGTGTGTGTTGTCTCGCCCATCTTTTCTATGGCCTTTTTTTCTTTCTTGAATTGTTTGTTGGCAGAGTGAGTGAGTTATATGCAGCAATGGGCGAGTGTTTGTAGAGTGTGGATTAGAACGAAAATTTGGTTTGGTTTAATCTTTGCGATGTGCCCCAATTTTCTGCATCTCCTTCGGTGTAAGACGCATACAAATTTGACGTGTTCACCTAACTTGCTTTTATTTTATATTTTTTGCTGGCAAATTGTAATATTTTTATAGAAAAGTATGATTTATTTATTTTTTCTTGAATTAATAATATACGAATATTGGAAAAAAGAAATTTAAATAGAAGTTCAGCGAGAGTTTTCGTGTTAATCATAATGGAAAGAATATTAATTGATTGGTTGGAGAAAGTAATAAACTATAATGTAATTAAGCATATAACAATGCTCTATAAATTTTCTTAACTAAGCAATCATATTTTTACATCAAGGCGCGCACGCTTATGAGTATGACTTATCAGTTGACTACAGGACTGCAACTACATATAACAACTACAGTATATAATACTTTATTGTATATAATACTTTATTGTTTTTGCTTGTATTTCCGTATATATATATTGGTTTTTGGTGCAATAATGGAAGACCTTTGACTATTTTATGAAAGATAGGAAGGAAAATTGGGTACAGGCAAAAGTCGTGGATATCTGAATTCTCATCATCAGAGTCGGTTAGTAAGGGGGTGTCTATATGTACACCCCCTTGTGTATAAAAAAGGGGTGTACATATAGCATTGCTCTTTGTGTAATTTATTAAAAAGGGGTGTACATATAGCATTGCCCGTTAGTAATAGTTTTATTTTTTTTTTTTTTTTTTGGGTACAAGGTTAGTAATAGTTCTTTTAGTTACCATTAAGAAAATAATTAAATAGAACACGGTATAACCATTAAGAAGTGGAGTAGTTCTTTTAGTTGTTTTATTCATTTAGTTACCACTAAGAAAAGAAATAACTATCACTAGGACTCGGTTAAGTAGTACTCCATAGTTATTTTATGGTACCAAAGTTGTGCCCCAAAATGGTTGTGTTTCAACACTCTCAAGGTTGATTGATCACACTATTGGATGATTCAAATGAATGAAATGAGAAGCCTATTTATAGATACAAGCAAGCACACCGTTGTTGACAATGGTGTGTTAATGAGGAGGGTTAGGTGAAGGTGGAGGACTAGTCTTCTTCTTCACTTGTGTGCTGCAAGAAGAACTTCTTCCTTGGTGTGCTATTGAAGGTTCGGTGGAGGAAGATGGCTTCAACAATGATGTGCTGCAACTTTTGTGCATGGAACTTTCAATTCTCTCCTTTCCATGCAAGTTCAGAACAAACATTCCTACTATGTCTCTGCATAGTTTAAGCTTATCCAGTGAACCACTTTTGTCAACATATCTGATGGATTCTCCTTCGTATTGATCTTCACTAGTTTCAACAGTTGTTGATCAATCTTCTCGCGTATCCAATGATACCGAAGATCAATATGCTTTGTGCAGGCATGGTACATAGAGTTCTTGCTTAAGTCAATAGCACTTTGACTATCACAATATACATTGTACTCTTTCTGCTTAATCCCAAGTTCTTGGAGATAGCGCTTTAGCCACAACATTTCTTTACCAGCTTCAGCGACAGCAATATATTCAGCTTCTGTTGTGGATAAAGCAACACACTTATGTAACCTTTATTGCCAAGAAATGGCTCCCCCTGCAAAAGTGTAGACATAACCCGAAGTAGATTTTCGACAATCAATATCTCCGGTCATATCAGAATCAGTATATCCTTCCGAGACTGGATCAGCTCCCCCGTAACAAAGACATAACTTAGAAGTACCCTTCAAGTATCTGAGAATCCATTTGACAGAATGCTCCTTCCCGGGGTTAGAAAGAAAACGACTCACTACACCCACTGCATGAGCAATATCTGGCCTTGTACATACCATTACACACATCAAACTTCCAACTGTTGAAGAGTATGGCACTGCAGACATCTCCCCCATCTCTTCCTTGGATGTGGGACATGATCTTTTGCTCAACTTTAAATGATTCGCAAGTGGAATACTCACTGGTTTGACATCACTCATATTGAATCTTTCAAGTACTCGTTCAATATACTTCTCTTGAGATAGCCATAACTTACCGTTCTCTCGGTCTCGAGTAATCTGCATCCCAAGAATCTGTTGAGCCTTTCCTAAATCTTTCATATCAAAAGACTTGGAAAGTTCTTTCTTCAGCTGGCTTATCTTCTCTGCATCACTCCCAACGATCAACATGTCGTCGACGTACAGTAGAAGAACGATGAAAGCCCCATTTGAGTATCTCTTGATGTAAACACACTCATTTGCAGTAGTCTTCTTGTATCCTTCACTCTTCATGCATGAGTCAAACTTCTTATTCCACTGCCTTGGTGCTTGCATCAGACCATACAAGCTTTTAGATAGCTTGCACACGAGGTTCTCACTTGAAACCTCAAAACCTTCTGGCTGTTGCATATAGATTTCTTCTTTCAAATCTCCGTGAAGAAAAGCTGTCTTCACATCCATCTGTTGAAGCTCCAAATTCATACTTGCTGCCAAGCCAAGTATGACTCGAATTGAGGTCATCTTGACAACTAGTGCAAAGATCTCGTCAAAATCAATCCCTTTCTTCTGTTGAAAGCCTTTGACAACCAATCGAGCTTTATGTTTCACCACTTGTCCATTTGTATCTTTCTTCAGCTTGAACACCCATTTGATCTTCAAAGCCTTTTTCCCTTTTGTAAGTTTAACTATCTCATAAGTTTGATTTTTCTGCAGAGAATCTAACTCTTCCTGCATCGCAGCCATCCATTTTTCTTTATCCTTATGAGATATGGCTTCTTGAAAACTCTCTGGTTCTCCATCTTCTGTCAATAGAAGGTATTCAGATGATGAGTACCTTTTTGATGGTATATGACCCCGTTCAAATCTACGAGTGGGTAGAACCATCTGAGAAGAACTTCCAACATTTGTGTCTGGCAAAATGGGTTATGGCTCCCCTTGCTCTGGCAAGACGGGTTGTTGCTCCCCTTGCTCTACACTCTCTTCTGGCTCCTCCTCTTTTTCTGGTACATCATCTTCACTGTTTCTCCGGAATAATTATGGTGCTTCATCTGAAACTCGAGCACCCACATTTGACTTCTGAGACATCTTGGGCTTTTCTATATCTTCTATTGTCAAATTTTCTTGGAACACAACGTCCCTACTTCTGATAACCTTTTTCTCCTTTGGATCTCAAAATATGTATCCAAACTCTTCATCTTCATAACTAATGAAACTGCATGGGATGGACCTCGTATCGAGCTTCTTTCTGAGCTCTTTGGATACATGTGCATATGCTACACAACCAAATACTCTGAGATGTGAGTATTTTGGATCCTTACTAGTCCATATTCTCTCTGGAACTTCAAAATTTAATGGAACTGATGGTGATCGGTTGATTAGATAACATGCAGTCTTGACAGCTTCTCCCCAAAATGGCTTTAGTAATTTAGCCATATTCATCATGCTTCGGACACGCTCCATGGTAGTCCGATTCATTCTTTCAGCAACACCGTTGTGCTGAGGGGTACGTGGTACTGACTTCTCATGTCAAATGTCATATGTCCTGCAATATACATCGAACTCCTTGGAAGTATACTCGCCTCCATTATCAGATCGGAGACATTTCAGCCTCTTTCCTGTTTCACGTTCCACCATGACGTAAAATGACTTGAAGTACTCAAACACCTGGTCCTTCGTATTCAGGAAATATACCCACACCTTTCGAGAAGCATCATCAATGAAAGTCAGAAAATATCTGCTTCCACCTAGTGATTCAACCTCCATGGGACCGCAAACATCAGAGTGTACCAAGCTTAACAACTCTGATCTCTTTGTTGAACTGGCATTGAATGAGACTCTATGCTGCTTGCCGAACAGGCAATGACTGCAAGAGCCCGTCGATGCACTCTTATCAACCTTGAT